TTTTCACATCTTTTTGAAAACAGCTATAATCAATTCTTACTGATATATAATATATATCCAATACATAATATATATCAACTTGTTATATTAAATTTAGAGTAATAATTTTTTAGATTTTGCTGGTTAAGTAATGTTGAAGCCTGGAATCCTATTTTGTATTTTTTTTTTTACTATAGTTCCTGAAAGATGAGCTTAAATCTAATATTCATACAAAGTCACATAAGAAATCACCTTTAGCTATTAGCAAGATTTGCTATCCTTAAAGTATTCATATATCTTGCCAATTTTATTTAAAGATACTAACTATATAAAACTTGAACATTGTATATTGTTCTGTATGATCTAGTCTAAAAAAAGGATAAATAATTAAATAGCAAGTTAATAATCATTAAGTTAGAACAATAACATTAAAAAGAAATTACTTAAAGTATAGTTTTGCAAGTATATCAACCTACATAATAAACTTATCGATTTGGTTAAATAATAATTAATTGTATCATTATCTCAGAATGGCTATAGTAATTAATAATAGGCTTAATAGCTAACTTTTTTGATTTAATACTCATATGTCTGCATTGTTCAAAAAGCTAATACTAAAAAAAAAAATTCATTTGCAAGATTAAAAAAGAAATAGTCATTAAAATCAAACATTTCAAATAAGCAAATAATAAATACATAAATATAGTAATCATAAAGAAAAGATAATTAAGTATCTTTTTTTTGATTTAATGTCTATATGTCTGTATTGTCCAAAAAGCTGATACTAAAAAAAATTTTATTTGCAAAATTAAAAAAAAATAAAATTAAACATTTCAAATAAGAAAATTAAAATAAGAATATAATATTTAAATATAGTAATTGTAAAAGATTTAATGTGCATGATAAAAATCAATTAAAGTAATTAAACGTATTAAATAAGAAAGTTAAAATGATATAATACTAATATTGATATTTAAATAATTAAAGATTATTAACTATATAGTAAAAAATTAAAAAAATCAATTATAGTGATTTGCAAAAAGGTGTAATCCTATGATTTTTATAGTAATAGTTAAAAGAAATTTCTAAGATTTTAGATTGTCTATTAATATATATCGATTAATTATATTTTATAATGTATCTCTATAACATATCTTTATAAAGTATTTCTATAATATATCTCTACAATATATTTTTATAATATATCTTTATAATGTATTTCTATAACATATCTCTATAATATATTTTATAATGTATCTCTATATTTGAAAATCTGTAAAATTTTCTTAAAATTAAAAATTCACATAATTTTCAGTGATTTTACATGGTATTATGATTTGTATAAGTCATACTTTTTTGCAAAGCACAACAAGACAGGTCTTAAAAACTCTTAAACATTCAATTGATAAATTATTTTGGTAAATTTTTATAATAAATGATGAATAATTTTATATTTATTAAAGATTTTAGCATATTTTAAATATTTTAACTTATATATTATTCAAATAAATAAAAATCTTAAATTATTTTCTTAAAAAATCATGATTTTGTAAGTTTTCTGCTAATCAAAATAAATACTCAAATATAAATCAAACTTTAAACAGCAATTATGTATATACACATATATATGTACATATAATATGTACCTGGTTTTTGGTAGTAACATTAAATAGATTTATATTAATTGTATTTATACTAAAAAAAATATATATATTAAATAAAGAAGCATTTGTAATTTTAAATAATTATTTAATAAATATATATATGTATATGAAAATTTAATAATTATATATATAGATAGGGTGTGGCAACTTAGTGAAGTGATGAAGTTGTCACATCCCCAAGTGGTTGAGTACAAGTTCAATTCTCACTAAAGATAAAAATTGAATTTCAAAAAACAGATTTGGTAACTAATGCTGTAGCTGAGAAAACTTAAGACCCTGTAACTGTAGTCGTACCAATTCATTAGAACTGGAAGATCTTGGGGCATTTGCGCAATGTATGAGTTATACGAATAGATCTTCAGATTGCAGAAAGCCACAGTACTGATACAGCGATAGGGTACTTGCTTGGCAAGTTCCAAATAGAAAAGTAGCACAAATCTTTGACGGTACTATGTAAAGGATCATTATCAGAAAAACCGGCAAAACTGAATAGGACCGAAGTGTTTGGCAAGACACTTTACCAACCAGATCGCTAGAGGAGTAATTGGAGGAAAAGGACCTAACTGTGGAGACCAGAAGCAGGTTATAGCCCCTCTGAGTCATAGGAGGAAATTCATTTGATTGGCTAATATAAATCAATTACTCGAGTAACTAATTTATATGGTTTAAAGTATTTTTTGAGAACGTGATATTTTACTAGCAAAAAATTACCGCAAACCTTATTGTTAGCTTTAGAAAAGCATCAGAATTCACTGTGCAAAAAAATCTCAAAAAAATCCCAAAACCCACATACTTTACTTAGAGGACAAAATGCCACTTACTGGTCCATGTGCAATTACTAAATGCAAGATACAAACATCAAAAAGATGAAAAACAATAACGGAACATGTTATTTTCAAAGGCAAAACTAATAATACTTTGCCAAATTACCTTCAACTAGATGACGTTATATGCTTGAACTGCTACAATGGAATCGTAACAAGAAGTACAGTTGAATTTCAGCAACATGTATTAGAACAGTCTCATAATAGTGAGCCAAAGATTTATGTTAATGCTGCAAAAACTTCTAATAATATTTTGTTTTTTCTCAAGCTATAGAAATAATTACAGATGTTCTTTATAAGAGAGAGCATATGGGGTTTTCACCAATTTGGAATTTTGAAGAACTTTGTGCAATTATAGAATCAAAAAATCAATGGTTGGAGTCTTTCTTTGATGAATTATACTTATCGACCAACCCATTAGGAAAAAGTAAAAATATAATGGAAAAAGTGGCAAAACAATTGATATTCTTATGTTACTTTCTTTGCAGTATTAGAAATAAGTTTGTTAATAATACAAAAAGAGATCTAGGAATGTATTTAGATTCTATAGAAATACCTAATTCAATAATAGATACTTTAGCGGTATTGGGCTTAACAATGATGTCCTATTTAATTACTTATCATAAGGAATCTGTATCTGAAAAGCATCTAATAACTATAGAAACCAATCTTAAAAATAGTTCTAATACTGTATTACTTTTAAATATCGACAATTATTATAGTATTTACTCCATAAAAATGCCTACTACAACTGAGACATCTACTCCAATACATCTTGCTACAATTTTATTTAATCTGATCAAGGCTCAACTAGCAATATCAAGGTAAGAAATTCACAACCCCATATTAGTTGATGCTATATTAGTTAAGACTAAAATTGAAAATTATTTTATGCTAACGTATTCACTATCTCATAACTGATATTGGGGTTTCGCTCTGTTGATGATGAAACCAAGCTTGAGGAATTAACAGTTCATAGTTATGATATTCAGTTAAAAGAAAAATGAAACACAAGATCAATCAAAGACGCTATACTTGTGGATCTATTGTATAGTAATCTTCATTTAATAGAAGATTACATTAAGACCATTAATGCTGCTGTGTCTATTCCTTCAATAAATAAATATATTAAAGATGGCAATGTTATTTCTGTCATGGCTGATTGGCTTAGCCAAATAAATTTAAGAATGGCCATATCATGATATCTTGTTTATAGTAGTTCTTCTGGAATTACTAATAAAATTCTGTCATTTATTCTAATGATAGGTTCTCTTTATATTTCATTAAATAGTTGTGAGCTAGTATTTCTTCAATATCAACCATTCTTTTTTGAAATATACAAATACATATTCAATTAAAAGAAAAATACTCTATCTCAAAAACCAAAACCATAGCGTATTAATCTATTATTGGAACTTTTACGTAACATATAGCAAGAAATTGCAAAGATGGTTGAAATAAAATTTGAATAGTGCAAGGACGTGGAATACTTGGTGCTTAAAGACTTGTTAGATAATTCATTTTTGTTAGTTCTTGATGTTTACGCTTTATTTTTTCAGGCTGGCGATTTTAATTTATATATCAAATCTTGCTTTTGAGTTTGGGTGCTTTTTCTTAAATTTTAATGTAGAAATTATACTAAAGTGCCTTTAATATTTTTTTCAGATTTTTTCTATTAAAAATCGAAAAATCATCCGATTTTAGAGATAATGAATGCTGAATTGCTGAAATTCTTAGATGCGTCTGTAAAAATTTTTCATAGTATTTTATGACGAAGTACAAAGAAGTATCTTACGGCAGAACAAATAATAAAAGAAACACGATATATCAATTACTTACGATTTAATAATAATGGCTTTAAGATGAATTTTATTCATCATTCAACTTGAGCGATTTATCAATATTCTTCTCAGAATATTAAAACTTTAATACAAAAAACTGCATGTTTTCTTTTCAATTGTTTTTCTAAAATTTTTGTTCGTATTAAACATAAAAATCCATTTTCAATTCCATCACAGGTTGCCACAGTACACCTATTAAAAAAAAGTAAAAAAAAGAGAAAGCCAATATAAAAAGTATTTCTATTTCCGTGATGAAGATGAAAGAGGCATGGCTCTGCTATTTACCCTTAGGATATAGTTTTTTATTTAAACCTACTTCATCTGGTTGCAATTCCTATAATTGTATTTCTAATATTATGGTTAGTAAATTAAAACAGATACCAATTAGTGAAGAAACAGGATGGGTATTATCATATAGTCACACATATTATGACACATATTTTAGCCAAAATAGGTCCAAATGTTTGTATTGTTTAGATTTTATTAAAAATACCATTAATAAAAATGCACAATTACTTTTAAAAAGTTTATACAAACTTGATTCGAACAAGAATTCTAAAAGTGAAGATGATTCTAATCCCAAAGATGGTGAAAAAGATGATGATACTAAGGAATCTGCTGACAATATTTTAGTTCTTTAGGATAATACTATATGGCAATTTCTTTTATTATAATTTTTTATTTTTAATTTATTATATTTGCGATTTTTTTTTAATTTATATATTTATATTTGTGATTTTTTTTTATTTATATATTTTATATTTGCGATTTTTTTTTTAATTGATGTATTTATTTATTTATTTATTTGCATATTTTGCAAATTTTATCATTACATTTAAAATAAATTAAATTAAAAAATTTTATTGTCACTTTTCGATCATATAATTATTGCATCATTTGTTAATAATCAAATAATTTTATAATTTACAGAATCGACCAATCATAATTTACAAAATCAAAAAAAGATCTACAAATGATCTATATAAAATTAACCAATCAAACGAATTTTCTTCTATGACCTTTCGGGCCATCTGGATTGGTAGTTTGGAATAGTTAGGGATATCGTGGATGGTCTGTAATATATATACTGGGGTTTGAGTAAACTCTATAAGGGCAAAGGTACGTTGTGTAGTAGTGACCAGACCATAATACCTGATATAGAAACTGGGGTACAAGTGGCAAGCCTCGATCCGTATATATCAACCGAAGACTAGGTTAGCTGGATTGTGGATACAGAAGGCTCTAGCAGATTTACCTCTAAGGATAAAGGGCTTTTAGGGGCAAAAAGCCTGCCTTAAAGACCTAAGTTGGTATCTGAAACTAAGGGTTTTTGAATTGGATTCTCACTCGGTTAGTAGTATAACCACATAGATGCAGAGAGTTTAAATAGATAACTCTCTAGTTGGGTTATAGATATGATATCTAGTATAGAACTTAGTAATAAGCAGACTACTTAAAATAGGCAACCAAAAATTGTACGTATGACTAGTTATATCCTTCAAATATATATATAGTATGTGAAAATCATATTGTAAAAATTATAACTATAATTGAATAAAGGAACGTGATCAAGAGGTTACCTTAACACCAAAAAAAAAATAATAATAATTATATATATAGTTAAATATAAATTAAGGTTAGAGTTAGGTTAGCATTAAGGTTAGACTTAAATAGAAGCATACTTTTTGGCCTTTGGGTATATCTTGTGTTCTCGTGCTCTATTCCCTATTTATAGAACAAACTCTTAACAAAACAGGTCTTTAGCCTATATCTCTAATTAAATACTTCTAGTCTAAAAGAGATATTGACTTTGCTAAAAATAATCAATAGTATAAGAATAATAGAGTCAACAGAGAACATCTGGTATGAAGAGCCACAGCAACCTGCTTATATATTTAAAAAATAGTTTAATATATCGAACAATACTAAATGCTAGAGAACTAAAAATCATGCTAAAGTTCAAAAATACAATCTTGACAACAAAAAGCAAAGTTTACAGATTAGCAAATATATTTAAAGAAAGCTTTACTGTGCTAGTAGCTAAAACTCTAAAGAAATTAAATCTAATTTTACTTAAGCAACTATTAACAAGTACAAAAAACTAGTTAATAACCTGATAGCAGCTAAAGATTCTTAAAAATAGCTTAAATAAAGAAAAAAAAGCAAAGTGGTTTCAAGCAATAGAAAAAAGAATCCTAGAAGATAAAGAGAAGAGACTTGTCAAGATAGAGTTTAAGACAAAAGGCCTAAATGCTTGGATGATCTAGGCTACCCCAAACTCATTAGGTAATAATCAAAGAAAAAAAAACTAGATATTAGTTTAGAACACAAAAAACAAAGAGAATAAAAGCCCAGTTATCAATAAAACTCTTAAAAAGAAAGATAAGCAGTCTTAACAGAACATTTGGAATGCAGAAGAAGATCTGAATACACTAACGATCAAGTTAAAAAAATGTAATAGCTGCAAGAAAACTTATGCAGAGCATTAATAAAGAAGAAATCTTCACAGAGATTTATTATAAAATATATAGATAAACAGAAGAAAAATATCCTCAAAATCAATTAAAAAGCTTTTAAAACAACATAATGGCTCCTAAGACCAATAATATTATCAAATAAAAGAGAAGTACATGAAGTTTGTTACTATGATTTAGACATTGAAATTATTAATAAGCAACATATTAGCAAGAAAATGAAGGAGGATCTTGTAAAAAAAAACTCAGAAATGAGAGAAAACCTATTATCTCAAATAGTATTCTATACTAATAGATCTTTTAGAAATAGATATATATTTACACAGAACGAACTAGCCAGAATAGGAGCTAGCTGGATACAAGTTAATAAAAATAAAAACTAAAAGATAAATAAAGGTTTCTTTGAAGCAAAAAATTAGCTATTGACAAAAGCAGAAATGCTCAAAATTAGGTATATGCTTCTTTTGGTACCAAGTAAAAGAAAAGTAAAAATTTATACAGACAGTATGGTAGTGATAGAAGATATAAAAGAAAGAGAAAAGAAGAAAGCAATATGCTAAATTTTTAAGGAGAAAAATTATAGTCTAGTAAATAGTATAGTTGACATAACTAGGATTAAAAAAATATAGTTAAAATTAGTAAAAATAAAAGGATATAGTGAAAATAGATGAAATAATTTAGCAGATAAGTTAACAAAATTAGGTTCTAAAATAGAAAATAAAGATGATATAATAAAGAAACCCTCCAGAAATCAAATGTCTTTTTGTATTGAAAAGGCAAAACAGTAGAAGGCCCTACAAAACATTTCATTCAAATAGTTCTTTGTTTCTAAACAAGTTTAGACTAGAGAATATCAACTGCAATACGAAAAGAAGAACTAAATGATATATCAGAAATAAATTACTAGTCGACTTTGTGGAGGAAAATTAGAAGCCAGAATAGAATCAGATGTACTAGTGCAAATAAAAACCAATAGTTAGAGGTACTGATCAAATATCTACATAAAAGATTACTAGTACTTAAAATCTTGGCTATAAGAAGACCAGATCTATATGAAAACCCATGTTGTGTAATCTGCAAGAAAAATGAAGAAGAAACTAAGTTTATCTAACAAAATATGAGAAATATGAAGAAAGATAGAATAAATTAGAACAAATTATATCAAATTTAGCTTGGGTCGTTCTGTCTGCAGAAATAAGAAGTCAGCTTAACAAAGTTCAACTCAAGAATATTTTATAGGGCCTAACAAAAGAAGAAAGAATCAGAACAAGAGCTAGTATCCTCAAGATTTTAATTCAGAAAGAAGTCTTTAGAAAATTACTCAACATATAAAGCCATTGAAAAAAGTGAAGAATTACTTGGAAATAGCAATGAACTTAGTATAGAATTTCTTTTACAAAAATATCTGGAAGTGAAGATATTCAGTTGTCAATAAATGGAAAAAAGAAAAAAGCATAGATATCAAAAAAAAAAGAATAGAAATCGAAAGTAAAGGGTTCTGGTATTAACACAGAGTAGTCATGCATGAATACAGGAGAGTTTCTTAATAGTTAAAATCAAATCAAGAGAAAAGTAAAGAAAAAAGAAAAAAAACAAAAGGAGGAGAAAAAAAACAAAAAAAAGTAGCTTGGTTTTTGTCAATAAAAAATTATATTGTAAATAAAGCAAAACTATTTTAGTATAGTTTGCAGGCTAGCTTGGTGCAGCTCCCAATATAGGCATAAGCCTTATCTGATAAGGCAAACTGTTCTTGGATGCCCCTAGGAGTAGCTAAAAAATGTCAGATCTGTAGTTTAGATAGTTAATATATATATATACTTTGATCTAATAAAGATACTAGCGAGACTGCTGATAATTAAAAAAAAAAATAATTACTATTATAAGCTCGTATTAAACTTGCAAAAATTATACTGTATATTACTAAATAAAATAGTTTTTACTCTAAATTTATCTAATTAGTATATCTAAGTAAAAACCTAATAAAAAAACTTTATCAATTTAATTATTATAAAAAAATTAAAGCTAAGTTTTAAAGTATTATTTGTATAGATATTCTTGTTTTTAAAATATTTATAGTCAACTTTCTCTAAATACATGTTCTCTAAACACATATTCTCTCTAAATACAGATTTAAATTTTGGTTCTATATATATATTTGATCTCTATAAATGCATTTTTCTTAATTGTTCTCTTAATGTATATTGTTAAAAGTCTAGTCCCAATGAGATACGTTTAGAGGGAATTGACTGTATATATATATTTATTGCCACTTTTATATACTGTTATTATTTGCTAATAAATATATGACTAAAAAATCTATTTTTAGTTATATTTAATCTAATTTGAAAAATAAATAATACTAACTATTTTGGTATATATGATATTAATTTTTTGAAATAGATAACTAAAATTCTACTTTTTACAAAAATTTTTTCAAAAAAAAGTAATAAGCCAACAAGAATATATAAAGTTTTTCTTATAATTTTACAGTTATATAGTCTGGCAACTAAGTTTTTATTAAATTTGATAAAAGTCTAACTATTTTAATTTTAAAATAATTTTTTTAGTTTAGATACCAAATATTTTAAAAAGTCTATTAAAGAAAAAACTTAACTTCAAGAAAAACTATTAGAAAATATATATTTTTAATATATTATATTTAATTTAAACTTTATCAACAATAATCTATTTTATATAAAACTAAAAATAGTATCTATTTAGTACTTTTTATATATTTTGCTATAGTTTACTGTCAAAAATGATATTAAAATCAGATGATACTAAAATTTATGTGATTATATAATGATTTTCTATATAAACAAATCTAAATTGCTTATAGAACTCTAGTATCACTAACTAAAAAATTTTACTATTAATATTAGAATTAAAGTTTAGATATAATTATATTTTATTTTTTTTTTTTTTTGGTGTTAAGGTGAGGTCTTGCCTCGTATCTTTATTAGATATTAGATTTTTGCCTTATATGGCTACATATAATCTTAAGAAT